TCTGAGAGTATGCATATGATTTTATCACTAAGTTGCATCGCATTGACATGCATACATGACATACATGCATAGAGATGAATTTTCCTCATGTTGTACAGTATCACATCATTCATGATTTCTCACACATGTTGACAGATCGGCATAGTGATGCAATTATTTTATACGGTTTATTTGGAAAGAAAATGAAACATCCCATTTATTATTGAAAGGATTTTGGGAAAATCACAGTTTTCATACTTACTCATATTTTGGTGATTTTAGTGAAAAGAATTGAGTTTTACTATTATATTTGAAAAGAAAAATATTTATTTTTCCGGAACTGTGAACGAACTGAGCACTTTATTATTGAGTTATTCATTGTGCTGCTTCAATTCTATTGTTATGAGATTTGTTTTCTGGATATTGTTGTGGACTATTGATTTTGGACCCGACCTTGGTAAAAGTTCATCACTGCTTTCAACCTAAGGTTAGATTTGTTACTTACTCAGTACATGAGATCGGTTGTACTGTTACTACACTTCTGCACCTTGCGTGCAGATGTTGGCTGATGATGTTGCTGTGTTCGATGGGAGTTGGATTTGAAGATGTATCTGCGTTCTAGTTGTAGCTGCCTCTTGTTCATGGTAGCCTTAAATTAATAAAATTCTGTTTATGTGCTTCTCAAACAGATAATGTATTTATTTCATACCAGCTTTGTAAACTTTATTCTTAGAAGCTCATGATTTGTACTACCAGTTCTTGGGAAAAAGTATTGGTTTTAGATATTTTCTTTTAATTAATTGTCTCGTTAATTTCATTGGTATCAGATAGTTGGTAATTGGCTTACCTAACGGGTTGGGTTAGGTGTCATCACGACTAGTTGGATTTTTGGTCGTGACAACATGTCACTCTCTTTGCAATTATATGATGTGGAAAATAAACAATAGAAAAATAACATATCAGCCAAAAAAGAAAAAGAAACATGAAAGAAAATAGAAAACAAAAGGCAAGAATCTGTTTAAATTCCCTACAGCTCCAACACACCAAAATTGTCACCGTAAAATGGCAACCTACTGTCTACATACTCCTTTTGGCTATGAATTGAATCATGACTAGAGTGCCAAAAACTTTGATCATAAATCTCAAAGCAATTAGTTGGCAACGTTAGAAGGTGGGAACTTGCATTAACATCTCCTCCATTATAAGGGTCACCGATTTTCACCTCCCCAACAATGGCGGATTTCCAAGCAATTGGTCAGCTACAGTGTCGATATCTAATTTTGCTTCTGTATTGTATTGTCGGAATATTTTTCTAATTTTGTAACAATTTTAAGGAGAATTGAAGGTGGAATTGGTCGAGAGTTGGTGGAGCTGAAGAAGCAGAGGAGATGTTTGTTAAAAAGTTTGAATGAAGAAGGTGGTTCTGTAAGGATGTTGTTTATATGCTTGGTTTAGTGATTTCTGTTGGTGAAGTTGTTCAGGTGAGTAAGAATATGAATATCAATGAATGAAGATGATATTTTATTTGGATGAAACTGATTGAAAAATTGGATTTGGCCAGAGATATAGGAAAGGAAATGGAAGTTGTGTTTGCCGTCAGTAGGTGGTGTTGTAAATTGGTGGTGAATGGTCCAGTTTATGGATGATGGAATGAGAAGTTGAGTCAGTGAAGATAGTGGAATAAGATTGTTCATACAATAATTTATGAGCAAGGAGCGATGGTCCTGTGCCAGTGTATTTTCCGATTAGTCAGAAAATTATAGGTTACAAAGAAGAGAGAAGAAAGAGAAAGAAAGAAAGAAAATCATATTCCACGCGCTCAACACTAAGTGAAAGTCAGTTCATGCGCCACATCAGCAAGGGGTGTTCAGTAGATACGTTTTTGCTAGGTGTCAATAGGTATACTAACCTTAGTTAAAGGTGTTGAAATGAAAACTAGACTTTAAGCAGTCTTATATGTATTTGGCATATATTTTATCTTTGTAGTTATCTACTCCCTAAAAATAATTCAAATTTTAAAAAGGATCATTCTTTTTAAAACGAACCAAAAAGAAAATAAATTCACATAAACTACAAGGGATAGTAGTAGTTAGTTATCAATACACAAATAGAATAGGGACATCGAACACCTGTACACAATATCTTTACAAAAATAAGGATAAATTTAAGGGATCATATTTGTACCTCATTAAATTAAAATAAGTAAAAAAATCACATGTATCTTATAAAATTTTAATTGTTCATTTCCATAGGTTTAGACGATAACGATCCACGTTCATAATTCATAAAAGTTTACTTTATTTTTTTAATGCATAATTAGTTATTTAAATTTTATTTAATAATATTAATATTATTTTTACAAGCATGTCTATTACATAATTCGGTATGCATTTGCAAGGCAAAGTGATCTTATTTATATACATCGTGTTAATTAAAACTGACAATCTCTTTGTTTTTGTTGTTTTGTAAGGAATAAAACCAAAATTTACAATTTATTTTCATCTAACAAACAAAATTCCCATTTCCCAGTTCTCCCTAGGATTGTGCATAATTTGGTAAATACCGAATTACCGTACCGAAATCAAAAATTTTGATATTTGGTATTCGATATTTTGATATTCGATATTTTGATATTCGGTATGGTATTTGGTTTAAGTTTTAAAAAAATTAGTATTACGTATGGTATTTGGTATTCTATAATGAAATACCGAAATACCGATATCATACCGAAATATATATTATATTACACAATACACATATTATTAATTATAACATAAATACAAAAAAATCTAAAAATTTACTCTCTTTTATTCTCTAAATTCATCAATTAACTCTAAGTAACAAGACATTTCTAATGATCAAATTTATTCCTTTATGTACAGTTTTCTCTCTTTGGGTTGACATTTGCTGGTTTTGGACAAAACTTTTATCAACAAACGTTTTTAGTTTTGTACTTTTGCTTTAATTACGAAAATTACAATCTATGACTTTATGCGCTAGTTACTATTCAAACCGAATAAATCGAAGTTATCGAACCGAATAAATCGAAACCGAACAGAGAAAAATCAAACCATACCGAATTTAATTAGGTATGATATTAATATAATATTTTAAAAAATGAATATAAAAAATATCGAATCGAAATATTTAAATACCGTACCGTACCGACGGACGAACACCCTAGTTCTCCCTGACCCCATCTTGGTAAAGAACTCGGTCTTCCTTTCGCTTTGACCAAAAATATGGCCCTCCTTTTTAATGAAGAATCTCGCCCTCTTTGCCATAGCTGTGGGAATGGGATTCTGTCACATGGTAATGAATCGTTTGAATTCCAAGATAGAAAATATAAAGATCCAAAATACTTTTTCAGAGAATTGATTCATCTCAAACGATTACTTTTTTCCTATAGTGCAAGTTTTTTTCTTTTTCTCCTCCTTTGAATCTCTGCAAGAGTTAGACAGACCCGTGACCCTGAATTAATCCGAAACTCACCCCCCTACTTTCTTCCTCATTTTGAATTTCAAACTCAACACCCTAACCCTAAATTTTTCCTATAAATACCCGCGTTAATTGAGCATTTAAGAGATAGGTTTTCAGCCGTTAACATTACTGTTTGATAAACTTCTCTACCACTCAAAAGCCCTAAACTACTACTACTTCATTGCTCTCGGATCTGCCGTTTTTATCCTGCTAGCACTGCGTTATAGATTTTTTAATTGTAGGCATCATGTTAATTTCTACAAATTTTCAATTGTTATATGAATGAATGCCTACTATTAGAAAATCATAATGCAGTTCTAGCAAGATACTGTGGGCTAAAAGACATTTGGGTTGCATCAACTCTCAAATTTTCAACATTCTGATACAAGTGTGAAGATGTTATATCTCAAGTTTTTTTTTTATCAGAAAACCTGTAAGTTACTTCCAAAATCTCCAAACGGTTGCATATCCTAAAGCCTTTGGTGAGTTCGAAAAGGCTAAACAAGTAGCCACAACAATTAAAAAAGAAAAGGCCGGCTTGGTTCTATTTTGGAGTGATAAAAAACTGTTGCTTTTATAAATTAAGGCACTTAAAAAAGGTTAATGTGAAGAGTCATTGAAGTGATTTCTCTAATGACATCAAGTTAGCAACAAAGGCAAGTTTCGGAACTGCTTATGCAGCTTATGGCAAAATTTTAACATAGAGTCAGATGACTTTATTTTTGTGGTATTCTCTTAGTATTTTTTTTCTTAGTTTGTTGAATAATATTGATTTGGTGTCGTTCAGTTATATATTTAGTTGTTCACTCGACCAGCTAACTACTGCTCTCTCCATCCACTTTATGAAAATATTTTTTTTTTCCCGTTCCAAAAAGAATTATTTCTTAGAAACTTTTATAACCATACAAATACTCTGGACCCCTTTTTAACTTATTTAGGACCATAAATTCAAAAAATATTTATTTTTTCATAAACTCCGTGCTCAGTCAAACAATTTCACATTTAAATTGGAACAAAGGGAGTACTACTTTACAAGGAGGTATCTATGCATACCATAATTCTTGATTAATATCCACCGTGCATTTGGTTGAATCAACAAGGAGTTCAAGAAAATGAAGGAGAAGGCCCTAGAAATTCAGACAGTACCTTAGTTTCCCTAGGGACCTTGTATCTTTTTGATTAAATATGTGTATATGATGACCTTTCCAAATAATCAGATAAGTAAAACATTCTGGCATATGAATAAACTTTGAAAACTTATAATTATAGTCATTGTGGTTGTCATTTACTCTAATCTTTCAAACATGGTTATTTGGCAAATTAATTGGTCGTTTTGGCATAAGAATTGTAAAATTCCAAAAAAAAAAAAGTGAAATTGTTTTTCAAGTGAAAATGAAATTTAAAAATTAGGGTTGTATTTGGACATAAGTATAATTTTGGGTTGTTTTTGAAGTTTTGTGAGTGATCTGAATGAAAATTTTGAAAAATAGTTTTTTTGGAATTTTTCAAATTTTCAAAAATTTCCAAAATTCATCGTCAAGTTATTTATGGTCAAACACTGATTTTGAAAAAAAGTGAAAAAATGAAATTCTTGTCTTTTGAGAGTTCAAAGTAACTCTGTGTACCACACTTTTATACAAGCCATTACTTAGTACTTCAAGATGGTCACCCACATGGACTTGTAGTGTACCTTGAAGATCTTGAACTTCCCTCCATTCATTATTTTGTGTGTCCAAAATTTCTAATCCTACTGAGCTCTGGAGGACAATTGTAAGGATACTGTAATCTGAATATGGGGGGAGACCAAGTGCAAGGCCTGGTTGTGGACATGGAGGATAACAATTGACAGCAATTACATTCACTCCATCTTGAAAATTTTGGCTTAGATATGTTGGACCAAGTCCTAGGCCTTCAGTGATTATGCCCATGATCTTAATGGCTAACTTTTGTACTTCTTCTGTATATTTCCCCATCTTTTCCCTGTCATTCAACATTCAGAGTTATTCCTTATATTGTTTCGAAACAAATGTGTAAAGGAAATTAATAAAATGTAAGGGTACAATGCTAATTAACCAAGTCCATTAATGTACATACATCTGATGTCTAGGGGAGTAGCCAATCTGAATATTCAAACTTTCTATATTTGGAAAGTCAGCTTGAACTAAGTTCAAATGTATCAGCTTCAACCTTCAAGTTTCTCTCCATGTGGAGTAGCATTTACTATATTAGAAATAAACATAATCGTGATTTTTCAATTTTCTCTCTCTCAAGTGCTTAAAAGACATTCGTCGCATGATTTCAGCAATATCAGATGAAACAATTGAATACTGACATTTGAAATATATAAACATACATGGCTTGTGATTAGAACGTGCAACTTGGTTAACTATACATCAAATTTAAATTCTGAAATCGCCGGCCCCTAGATACCCCCATGAAACAATAAATAATTAACATGCAGCTAAAGTAATACTTGCACAATTTGAGTACAAAGTTAACAAGGTATATATATATACCTGTAATCTGGTGGATTTTCAGGCCACAGTTTAATCCAATCAATAAGAGGATTTGCATAGTGCTTGAGGAAGACCCTCCAGAATTGAACCTTGTCTTCACCATCCTTCAAACTCGTGCCATATCGAACAGGCTTGTACACATCATTCGACATAAGTTTTTCTTTGTCCTCAGTAGCCAGGTCGAAGAAACCAAAGGCGGCTGAAAGTGCTTCATCTAATATAGTCGGGGATATTCCGTGGTTGATGACCTTCAAATAAGGAAATAAGCAGAAAACATTAATTGCAAATGACTTTAATTAACTTCTCTACACTGACATGTTACCGTGTTACACTTTCACGTTACTTAAAAGATTACTACAAGTACCTGTTACAATAATAGCTTAAATATACTGAGAGCTTAACTTTTTTAATACCAATGTCAAGCTCATTGCTACGTATACTTACGTGAAAGAAACCATTGTGGCGACAAGCTTTAGCAATGTCTTGGATGATTATTGATCTCTGTAAGGGATTATCATCATTAATACCAACCAAATCAACCAGAGGGACATTTGCAAATTCGGACTTCAAACTAGGCCGTTGTGAAGGTGGCATCATGTAACACTTTGGGACATAGGACAGCCCCTTCTCTTGTGCAGTTTCCCCAATGGGAAATGAGCTAGAGCTTTCATTATCGTCGGCCATCTCAAAGCTATAGGCAAAAATTGGATTATTGCTGAAAACTGAGTATACCAGAATGAATGAATAATGATAGTATATATTAGTAACATAAACGTAGAGTCGTGGGTATTTATACTTGTGCTAGCTGCTCATTGTGGCGGTTTATAGTGGCGGAGGTAGAGTGTCGGGACCGGGTTCGGCCGAACCCAGTAACTTTGATTTTAACCATGTGTTTGTGTTACAAAATTCATTGAATATGTATAAATAATTAATTTAGAACTTAGTAACTTTTAACGATTAGAATCTCGAGCCCATACGCTTGAAATCCTTGCTCCACCTGTGCGGTTTACATATGTTTGAATTGAAAACAGAACAAATGAGTGACCTAATACCATTAATTTACAAATTGAAGTATCCAGTTAAAGATATCACCTTCCCAATACTAACTGTACATGCACATATACATCCATGGTTGAAAGCTTCTGCATAAGTCATGAATAATGACTCTTCCTCCACCACCTCTCTTGGATTATCCGTGTGGATATGATTGGCTCCAACTCCAAGAGGAGGTCCCGAGCCCGAGTATCTACTTTATCTTAATAATTACATAATACTATCGAGATATTATATATATACATTAACTATGGTTCATTTAATTGTATACATGTTGCGCGTTTAATGTTGACCTGTTTTACTACAAGAATTCAGGGTGTCCATCCACGGAACAGCTACGCGTTGTTTTGGCTCAAGGGTCTTGTCCATGTTCATCTACAAATAAGACATTATTCACTTTTATACCTACGTAACACAAAAAAGGCTGTTGTTTACTGATATGATGGTACTGTTGATCATTTTCAAGATTTTGGAATTTTTCAACTGATCTATTGATGGATGCTTACGAAGCAGAATACTAAGTGGCTTTGTTTCAAAATAGAAGAGACAACTCTGAGGCGGAACGTGGTTTTGAAGCTTATTGCTTCGGGATTCTAATCCTTTTAAGTTATTGAATTATAAATTAATAATTTGTACATTTACAATAAATTTTGTAAGCCAAATATAAAGTTTAAACCAAAAGTATTGATTCTGCCGAACCCGTGGATAACATGCTGGCTCCGCCCCTTAAGATGTCTTAAGGCGTTTTTTAGTTGGCATGTTTACTAGATAGATAAAATTTATTCGCATCCGGGGTGTTAGTATGACGCAAATGAATGTGGCATGTGTCCCCCATATGAACTTTTATCATTTAACTTGGGTTAAATTTTTATTGAGACATTAAATGATACTATATATTTTCACTTTAATTTGTGATAATTGTGACCAAATTGTGCTTGCAAGTAGAGTATTTTTCTATAGTAAGCTGCTCCGGGTAATAACAAAGTTGAACCCTGAATTTTTGCGTGTCTTTTGCGACACCCTAATCCGCAGCCATTTTTCTATAAAACTAGATTCGGTTATCCGGATTCCGAGTTAAAAAAGCGGCTGCTTATTCCTTCGGAAAGGAAATACAGCTGATGGAAGTGTTTAATATGGATACTGGATAGTTTGAATACATTATGTCGTGTACTCCCTCATTCACAAATCATTTATCAATATTTTATTCTTATTTATGTTTTAAGATATAATCTCTATTCATTAAATATTTATTCTATTTATGTGCAATTTCCATCTTCAAGAATAATTACTACTCATAGTAAGATGAAAAAAAATTAATTTTTAATTTTATCCCGAACTTCTAAAATGATAATAATTTGAGATAAATATTTTTAAAAATATAATTTGAGATGGGGTAGTATTTATTTACTCCACATTCTTTTTAACTCACTGTATACGGTGAAATATGATATGACACGTGGTCATCTAAAGGAAAGACACGTGCAACCCTAGACGGGGATGGCCGAAGACCGAACGCGGTCATTCCATTTGTCAACGGAAGGGATAACGTTCATAAAGGTGTATTAAATGCTCTGTGTCCCGTAGCATTTAATAAGGAATATTCTGCAGCATTAAGAGCAACAACCCATTACAGAGAATTTGGCATTTATATTCACCGTTACATCTTCATCAATGACCTTCATAATTGACATTAAAGGATGGCACGATCCTAAGAAATCCTTCCCTAGACGCAGCTATAAATAGTAAGCCAATTATCATTGTAAAGGAAGCACAAAAGTTTTTGGCAAAACTTACACCACATTCTATACAAAGCTTAATACAATCTTACTTTTTCGCTTTTTGATCTCATGATTGCAGTGTCCGGAAATCTTGTTCCGGAAACTGTCATCTCTGTTGTTTCATCTACATTTTAAGGCTAAGTATTGTATATTTCTTCAATTATTGCATTATTTCAGGATCAAATTAGTTCACTTGTCTACGAACCACATATAAATTCAATTGTACCATTTTACAAGTAAATAGCTTGGCGCCCACCGTGGGGACTAGACAACCGTGCAATTAAATTGATCCTTGCCTTTTTTAATAACATGATTTGATTATTTTGTCTTAGAAAAAATTACAAAAAGGGCAGAAAACACTGTTAACAACACGTACAACCCTGAAATTCGAGGGGGTCAGCCTCATTTCAAGGATTCAATCAGTGACACCCGCAATAAGGGAAATGACGCTACGTCAGTGCATGACAGGCAGAACCCTCGACAGGTTCGAGAGACAACTCCTGATGATGTTGATGAGGAGCATGTCATGGATGCAGTGAGGGTCCTACAAGAGCAACAAGCTATCATTCTAGGGCATCTCACGCGGCAGGATAAGGTTATGATGGAGCTGAAGCAGGCGCTATCGGGAGCTTCGAATAATGCAAACATACGAGATCCAATTCCTCCCGGTGTTCTCGCAAACCATGAGAAATATTAAAGAAGCACGATTCCCGAGAACTATGAGTTCCGATTCTAGCCAGAGGGATCCCAACTTATGGTGTGAATACCATGGGACGAACGGCCACCGAACAGGACTGCCGACACCTCCAGGAAGACGTGGCAACACTATTGAAGAATGGTCACCTTAGAGAATTCTTGAGTGACCGAGCTAAGAACAATTATGGTCGTAATAGAGACAACGTGGAACCTTCAAAAGTAGGAGAAGAACCCCCATGCCAAACGATCAATATGATCTTCAGAGGGAATGAGATTAACGGGGTCACCTTTTCGGTAGCAAAGAAGACAAAATCAATAACTCATAGTAAAAGACTCCTGGAAGTCAATATCACTTTCACAGAAGAGGACGAAGATGGATTGATGTTACCACACAACGATGCACTGATAATTTCTTTAAATGTGTTGGATTTTAAGATTAATTGTGTTCTGGTGGATCCAGAAAATTCGGCTAATATCATACAATGGAGAGTATTGGAGCAAGCTATAGTCATCGGAAGCATTATTCCGACAACAAAGCTCCTCGCTGGATTCAACCTTGTGAGCGTGACGACCCGGGGAGAGATTTTGCTGCTCACGAACACTGAAGGAGTAATGAAAACAACTATCTTCGAAGTAGTAAATAGTGACATAGGATACAATATCATCCTGGTAAGCCCATGGTAACACGAGATGAAAGTTGTACTCTCAACATACCACCAATTGCTGAAGTTTCCAATGCCCGAAGAAATCAAGCAGATAAAAGGTGATCAACCGGCAACAAGAGAAACATGAATGCAATTTCGGTTTCCAGTAGCAAAGGGAAAGAGCACACGACATAGCGATTACAGGAACCGACACATATTCCCGAGCTAGAAGAAGTTAGCCCGGGAGCAGAGTTGCTAGAACATTATCAGGTGCCGAGATATTTCCATGTTCCAGAAGAGACGGACACAACGAAGTCCACGACGGAGGAACTGGAGCAAGTTTCATTGTTCGAAGAATTCCTAGAAAGAAAATTCCATTTATAGAAAGGACTTCACCCGGAGCTCAGGTCTGGTTTTATTGAATTCCTTAAATTTAATGCTAATTGTTTTGCATGGTCGCACGAGGATATGATAGGTATCCCGACGGAAGTAGCCATACACAAGCTAAGTTTGGATCCGACCGTACCTCTGGTAAGACAAAATAAATGCCCTACTACCGAGGCCGGGAATAAATTCGTTAAAGAAGAGGTAACCCGCTTGCTTAATATCGGTTCGATCAGAGAGATAAGATGTTCGGACTGGCTAGCCAATGTAGTGGTAGTTCCGAAGAAGAACAATAAATTTCACATGTATGTAGACTATAAAGACTTTAATAAGGCATGCTTGAAAGACTCGTTCCCACTGCCGAATATCAGATCAAATGATTGATTCCACAGCCAGGCATGAGTTAATGAGTTTCCTCGATGCTTATTATGGGTACAACCAAATCAAGACGAACCCGGAAGATCAGGAAAAGACTTCGTTTATAATGAATTTCGGTACATATTGTTACAATGTGATGCCCTTCGGGTTGAAAAATGCCTGAGCCACTTATCAACGGCTCGTAAATAAGATATTTAAAAAGCAAATAGGAAAGACAATGGAAGTTTATATATACGATATGCTCGTTAAGTCTTTGAATTCAGGAGACCACCTTAAGAATTTGCAAGAAATATTCGACATCCTGAGGAAGCATAACATGAAACTTAATCCCGAGAAGTGCGCGTTCGGGGTCAGTTCTGGTAAGTTTCTATGATTTCTGGTCTAACAAAGGGGAATTGAGGTAAACCACGACAAAATCAAGGCCATATAGGATATCCCGGAACAATTGTCAAACATAAAAGAAGTCCAAAGGCTCACTGGAAGATTAGCAGCTTTGAGCAGGTTTATTTCCCGATCGTCGAAAAAATGTCATTGCTTCTTCATACTGCTCAAAAAGAAAATTAATTTTGAATGAACACTGGAGTGCCAGCAGGCTCTGAGGGCCCTGAAGAAGTACTTATCAAGCCCTCCATTGCTCTCAAAACCAAAAGAAGGTGAAACATTGCTAGTCTACCTCGCGGTTCCAGAAGTTGCGGTAAGTGCAGTTTTAGTCCGGGAGGATGAAGGTACGCAATTTCCCATTTATTACATT